GTGCACCACTGCCAACTAGATAAGACAGAGCATTGCCTGGCATAGACACTTGGACATCAGGAATTTTGGTCTTTCAGGACTGTGTTCTACTAATATGCTATAGCGAGTTTTTGTTGGAAATAGCAACCACCTTCTTCAAGCTTCCATTAGTAATTTGTATATGATTCTGTTTGCTTACTGTATTGTTTGTTATAGTAAGCAGCTTTCCCTTTACTCTATGTTTCTTGAGGGGCTGCAGACTACAACCTCAAGAAATCAGATCTGGGACTGCTGAGAGCTGAGACTCCATTTTAGAACACAGAGACACCCTTATAGTTTGGACTGTTAAGAGCAAACTCGTGTTGCTGTTGATTATAAGAAACCACTTCAGACCTATCTGTAACTGGATCAACAAGTTATGTACCTGTGTGGTGAATACATGAAGGTTGTGAGTAAAACGTTACTTTTTACGAAGTCTACTTTATTTTTGTCTCTTGAAAGCATGATATAGAAACAAGATATTTTATGGGAGAAGAGATGTTTTTGGGCACTGAAAAGAACACTTCAGAAGAACTGAAAAGCCAAATTGCCTTGCGTAAGTATAGGCGGATATATACCACTGAAGAGAAGATTTTACTCAAACAAGTTTTACAAAAGGTTGTGATTTTCAAATAATTGTGAATGCCATTTTTCTTCAAAAGGTTATGGAGATTCTGGTTTTCCAAAAGGTTATGATTTCTAAAAGGTTATGTCTTTCCAAAAGCTTTGCACCTAAACATGTGGAGAAGAGGGAAGTAAAGATGTGGACAATTTCAGCTTCTGCATGGGTTCCCCCCCCCCCCCCCCCAGTATTTGGCTAGATTTGGTCCTTACCTCGGCCAATACAGAGAGATGAGTAGTTGATTCTTATATGTTCAAAAAACAGCATCGTGATGGTTTCGGTGCTGGACTAGGATTCTATAAATCAGGATTCAAATTCCTCACTCTCTCAGCCACAGAGGAAGGAAAAGGTAAAAGCCTTCCCACCCTCCTTGACAGGGTCAATTTAGGCTTGCCATACGTTGGAATGGACATGAAGGCATACTGCAACAACAACAATTTTGTATGTTCATCACAGAACTTTTCTTCTAAAGGAGCCATTCTCCCTATGATGACAATCTTTCTTTGTCTCAAACAAGTTGCTAATTCCAAGTATCTGAATACTCATTGCTAAGTCAGTTCTTATATGAATCCTAGTGATTCCGTTGAACTGCTTTGAATGAACTACTATTTGGATTTAAGTTGAGTTTTCCTAAACCAGTCCATGTTGTTGTAGTTGTTTCTTCTATCTAGTTCCTCCTTCTTCTCTTACCTTAAGCATGACTCTTAAAGATTTTAGGCAATACTGATACAATATTTTCAGCATAAAAGTTGTTCCTAAATTAGAATACACAGTAACTAAGAAACAACTTCTTGTTTATCATTTAGAGAGCCTAAGGGCCTGTCCACACAGCCCTATGTCCCAGAATATCAAGGCAGAAAATCCCACATTATCTGAGTGTGGACTCAGATAACCCGGTTCAAAGCAAATCTTGTGGGGTTTTCTGCCTTGATATTCTGGGATATAGGGCTGTGTGGAAGGGCCCTAAGTTTCCATGGACAAGCTCACTTCAGCAGATATATGAAAGTGTGTGTATTTAAAAACAAAAGAAAATATACAAATAGGTAGGTTTGCCAGAGCTAATACTTGAAAACTGGACTCCTGCAGCCTTGTTGTGTAGAAAAAAGATTTTCAGCAGATTAAATGATGCCAAATTTATAAAAACATTTTTGTGCTGCATATGAATGTATTGTAGCAGGAAATCTGTGAAAAAGATTCCAAGCACAATCATTGGTTTCATTGGTAAATCAACGTTTCAGTTTCAAGAAAATTAACATCAGGTGACAGGATATTTTTTACTATTCTCACCAAATACATGCAATGAAGTTGGACAGTTAAGTTACCCTGAATTCGATGCAGATTACTCAAATCAATTGTGCCTCATATGTTAATACTGCCTATGTGATAGTTGTTCTATTTCATTACTTAACTTTATCAAGCACAAAGTGTTTTTATTGGCAAAAATAAAATTCATCATGTTCAAGCATAGAAATAATTTTCCATTATCGCAATTTTTTCCTGACATCTTGTTGACTATTTAAAATACTTGCATGATTTTTTAGGGGAAAGAACCTTTTGAATAGACAACGAGCACAGAAAGAACATGCATTGACACATCATTAATCATCAACTAATGACGTGGCCATTACGTCAGAAAATTCACAAGCTGAAGTTTTGAACCTAGCTTCACTGCCGGTGTCTCTTTACAACAAAAGAATACCAAACATGCCATTGAACTGCGAATAAAAAGATACAAAAAGCCCTGGGGACATACATTTTTAGTGAAGTTGGATAATGGTAGCATTAACTATCACAGAATTGTGACCCTGTTGGTCATGGGAGAACAGTGTGCCAAGTTTGGTTCAATTCCATCATTGGTGGGGTTCAGAATGCTCTTTGATTGTAGGTGAACTATAAATCCCAGCAACTACAACTCCCAAATGACAAAATCATTTTTTTAAGTGAAGGGCATACATTGGCCTGATAAATGTCTTGTGTCCAAATTTGGTGTCAATTCGTCCAGTGGTTTTTTAGTTCTGTTAATCCCACAAACAAACATTACATTTTTATTTATATAGATTTTTATATTATACATTTTTATAAGGGAAGAGTTTTGTAATGAATATTTTGTGAATATAGGTACATATAACAACAATTTCCCATTTTCCTTACATTAGGCAGCTCTTAGGATACTCCATAAAGAATCTTAAGCCTGTTCTATACTGCACATAAAATCCAGATTATCTGCTTTGAACTGGATTATATGGCATTGTAGACTCATATAATCCAGTACAAAGACAACCATGAGGATTATCTGCTCTGATAATCTGGATTATATGGTAGTGAAGAAGGAGCCTCTGTGAACCGGATCTCAAAACACTGGAACTCTCAAACAAACAGCAAAATTAAAAAATAAAATCGAAGAAGTAATACTTTAAATAAAAATGAAAATACATGTAAAATACAACAAAACTGTGTTACAGGGAATATCAATCTTAATATCAAGTCAGATCAGAGTATTAATTAGGCTTATTTTTAACAGTAACTTTCAAGCAACCAGAGTCTACATTTATCCGGAATCTACTAATCCCTATGGGAGCCAGTTAACTGAGACCCCGTCTACACTGCCATAGAAAATCCAGATTGTCTGCTTTGAACTGAATTATATGGCAATGTAGACTCGGGCCCCTTCCACGCAGCTGAATAAAATCCCACATTTTCTGCTTTGAACTGAAATGGCAGTGTGGACTTGGATAACCCAGTTCAAAGCAGATATTGTGGGGTTTTCTGCCTTAATATTCTGGGCTATATGGCTGTGTGAAAGGGCCCTCAGTTAACTCAACAAGGGGAAAGAAATGAAAGCAGGGGCAGCATTCTTTAGGCAAAAGCAAACTGCTGCAGTGTCTTATGCCTTTCATAGGGCCCCTCCATACAGCCAATTACACTGTCTAGCTGGTATTGGGCAAAAGCATAATAGCCGGGACCCTACACTGGTTGCGCAATGCGGGTCTGAATTTATGAAGGGAACATGTGCGCGAGACAGCACAGCGAGTGAGAGATGCAGCTGCATCAGAGTCATGGCAACATTGTTCACCAGAAAGGGGGAGAGGTTACATTTCTATCCCGTTTACCGTCTTCGTAAGCTGTTGTTTATGATTTAACATTAAATAATTCTTACATTGGCCACATCATGAGAAGGAAGTAAATCTTAGAGAAGACAATGATGCTGGGAAAAATGGAAGGAAAAAGGAAGAGGGGCCGACCAAGGGCAAGATGGATGGATGGTATCCTTGAAGTGACTGGATTGACCTTGAAGGAGCTGGGGGTGGTGGCGACCGACAGGGAGCTCTGGCGTGGGCTGGTCCATGAGGTCACGAAGAGTTGGAAACGACTGAACGAATGAACAACAACAAATTCTTACATTATTTCACTCTTATCATCTTGCACCTGAGTTAAATTACTTCACTGCTATCCTGGCACTGCTGCATCTCTTACTTCCTCCGCTGTCTTCCCTTCATTAACTCTGACGCATGTTGCGCAACTAGTGTAGTGTAGGGTCCCAGCTATCATACTTTTGCCCAGTATTGCACCACCTGACATCCGCTGGGAAGTAGCAGCCCATTCCCTGTTCGGATATCAACCAGCATGCCAACACCTTAAATCAAGAAATAGCTTTCTAAGATCTACAGAGATACTCGCAGGAACACCCCAGCAAGCATGGGTCCAAAAGTGGCAGGCTAAAACCCAGAACCTCAACCAAGACTGATCCCGAATAAGAGACTCCTTTTTGGGCACACAGAAAACTGGGTGACTTGGAAGGCATTGAACAGACTTTGCTCTGGGATCACGAGATACAAGGCCAACCTTAAGAAATGGGGCTACAATGTGGAGTCCATGATATGTGAGTGTGGAGGAGAGTAAACCACAGATGTCCTGTTACAATACAACCTGAGCCCTGCCACATGCACAACGGAGGACCTTCTTATGGCAACACCAGAGGCACTCCAAGTGGCCACATACTGGTCAAAGAACATTTAGTATAATGCCAAGTTTTTTAAAAAAATTGTGTTTTTTAAAATACATTACAACTGTGCCCTCGATGCGCTTCTGATACGATAAATAAATTAAATACCAAGAAGAATACTGGAGGCATTTAGAAACACGATTGTTCAGCAGATCAGCAGCAGCTGTAAGTGCGCGCTGCTCCTCGAGGGGGCGCCGGAGAGCTGCAAGCACGCTTCGGCTATTGAACGCCTTTTCTCCATTGTGTGAAGCCGGAGACCTCGGGAGCGCGCCTCGTCCTGCGCGCCCTTTGGTCCTGCCCCGCGCATAGGGGGTGGGGGGTGGGGTGAGAGGAGGAGTGGCCCGCGGGGGCGCGCGCGCGTGTCACGGTCTGTTTCCTGTTGTGAGACGCCCCGTCCAGAGCGAGAGGCAGCCTCAGAGTCCAGAGGGTGGAAGTTCGGGACCGCAGGAGCTGCCCCAGGGACGCGAACCGGGGCGCCATGGGCTGCCCTTGGGGGGCTCTCTCGGCCTCGGGGCTGCTGGTCGCCCTCTGGCTCCTCGCCTCGCCTCCGGGCGCCCAGGTCCTGGCAGCCCTCACCCCGGCCCAGCAAGGAAGTAAGAAAGAAAGACCCTCGAGAGTTCCTTTCTTTCTCTCCCTTTTCTTTTCTTTCTTTCTCCCTTCTCTGTCTTCCCTTTCACTTATTTCTTCTCTCTCTTCTCCTTTCGCCTCTTTCTTTCTTCTTTCACCATTCTTTCTTTTCTTTTCTTTCTTCCTTCCTTCATTCTGTCTTCCCTTTCACTTCTTTCTCCCCTCTTTTCCTTTCTTCTCTTCCTTTTCTCCCTTTCTTTCTCTCCCTTTTCTTCCTTCCTTCCCTCCTTCCTTCTCTGCCTTCCCTTTCACTTATTTCTCCCCTCTTCTCCTTTCTTCTTTCTTTTCTCCCTTTCTTTCACCCTTCTATCCCTTCTCTCTCTTCCCCTTTCTCCTCTTCCTTTCTTCTTTCACCTTTCTTTCTCTTTTCTTCCTCCCTTTCTCTTACATTTCTCTCTTTCTTTCTTTCTTTCTCTCCCCTTCCTTCCTTCCTTCCTTCCTTTCCTTTCTCATTTCTCCCCTTCATTTTGATCCTCTCTTCCTCTCCTTTTCTCTGTCTTTCAGCTTTCTCTCTGTTCTTCTCCCTTTTTCTTGCCTTTCTTTCGCTCCTTATCTTCCGTTTCACTTCTTTCTCCTTTCTCCCTCTCCTTTCTTTATTCTTTCACCTTTCTCTTCTTTACTTTCTCTCTTTTTTCTTTTCTATTTCTTTTCACTTTTCTTTCCTTCTCTTCCCTTTATTTCCTTTCTCCTTTCCCCTTCACTTCTTTATCCTCTCTTTCTCTTCTCTTTCTTTCACCTTTTTTCTATTCTTTCTCCCTTTTATCCTTTTCTCTTCCTTTTCACTTTTCTCCTTTCTTTCTCACCCTTCTCCTTTTTCTCTCTCCTTGTTCTTTCTTTCCTTTCTCTTTTCCCCTTCACTCTTTCTCCTCTCTTTCTCTTTACTTTCTTTCACCATTCCCTTCTTTCTCTTTGTTTTCTTTTTCTCATTTTTCTTTTTCTCATTTCTTTCTCATCCTTCTCCTTTTGTTATCTCCCCATTCTTTCTTTCCTTTCTCCTTTCCCTCTTCACTTCATCCTCTTTCTCTTCTTTCTTTCACCTTTCTCTTTGTTCTTCTCTCATTTTCTTTCTTTTTTGCTTTCTCTCCTTTTTATTCCTTTTCACTCCTTTCCTCTTTCTTTCTCTCTCTTTCTTTTCCTTCTCCCCTTTCTCCTCTCTTTCTCTCCTTTTCCCTTTCTTTCACCTTTTTCTCCCTTTTCGTTCTCTTCTTTCTATAGCCCTTTCCACACAGCTGGATAAAATCCTACATTATTTGCTTTGAACTGGGTTATATGGCCATGTAGACTCAGATAACCCAGTTCAAAGCGGATATTGTGGGATTTTCTACCTTGATATTCTGGGTTATATAGCTGTGTGGAAGGGCCGTATTTCTCTCTCTCCTGTCTTCTCTCCTTCTCTTCTCTGGGCCTTTCCACACAGCTCCATATCCCAGGATATCAAGGCAGAAAATCCCACATTAACTGCTTTGAACTAGAATATATGGCAGTGTGGACTCAGATAACCCAGTTCAAAGCAGAAATTGTGGGATTCTATAGCATTGAAACCTCTTTCTGCTTTCTTTCTGAGTCCCAATTCCCATTTTCAAGATGTTTGCTTCTAGGATGCCAACTTCCCAAGATGTTTGCTTCTGGGACACCTACTTCTAGGCTGAGTTTGTATTAGTGGCTGAATCACAAAAAGAGAAACAGGCCGGGTGGTTGTATGTGCGATTCTTGCACTGATTTTGGGCGTGTTTTGTGTGGATGGTGACGCACATGGAAGAGCATGAAGGGTGCATCCACACTGTAGAATGAATGCAGTTTGACACCACTTGAAGTGCCATGGCTCAATGCTATAGAATCCCGGGAGTTGTAGTTTGGTGAGACACTGTCAGTGTTTGGCAGAGAAGACTTTGTAAAACTACACATTTCTCACAATTGCATAGCATTGAGCCACGGCAATTAAAAAATATTCATTGTACAGAGTGGACCAGACATGGGCAAACTTGTGCCTTCCTCCAGGTGTTTTGGACTTCAACTCCCATCATTCCTAACAGCCTCAGACCCCTTCCTTTTCCGCCTCGGCTGCTTAAGCGGCCAAGGGGGAAAGGGAAAGGGCCCGAGGCTGTTAGGAATGATAGGAGTTGAAGTCCAAAACACCTGGAGGAAGGCACAAGTTTGCCTATGTCTGGTGTAGACACACCCTCAAAGTTAATGGTGTGTGTGTGTGTTTATCCCCTTTCAAGGTGCCTGTGAACTTGTGGTATGGCAACCCTATAAATTTCATAGAATTATTTCGGGCAAGGTAATGTTTCCAGTTTCGTCCACTAAGATCTAGGCTGGCTTGGAAAACACTGATGTAATGTGTGTTTGTTCCCTGTTGCTCTACATTCCTTTGGTTGAAACTTTGACATTAAATCTTGTTGGTTTGAAGGGATTGGTGTATTTAATCTCTCAATTTAAGTCTGAATACATTGGTTATCTAGACTCTTACTTGCGGGACTGCGTAAAGCAACAGCTGAGGCCAACCTCCTGATATAAGGCCATGTGATGCAGTTTAGCTACGCCTTAGCACCCTTTAATCGCTTGATTGTGCTGCTGTTGGTTTTAAAGAACTTTCATAGTTGGATAGAAAACTCTAATCCATGGAGATATTAAATTCTGAACTTGATAGCCCTGAGGTGCATCTACACTGTGGAATTAATGTGACTTAACACCATAGGGAAAACTGAACGAAGAAAGATAGATGCTTTTGAAGTGTGGTGTTGGAGGAAAGTTCTGAGAGTGCCTTGGACTGCCAGAAGATCCAACCAGTCCATATTTCAGGAAATAAAGCTCGACTGCTCATTGGAGGGAAGGATACTAGAGACAAAGATGAAGTACTTTGGCCACATCATGAGAAGAAAGGAAAGCTTAGAGAAGACAATTATGCTGGGGAAAATGGAAGGAAAAAGGAAGAGGGGCCGACCAAGGGCAAGATGGATGGATGGCATCCTTGAAGTGACTGGCTTGGACTTGAAGGAGCTGGGGGTGGTGACGACTGACAGGGAGCTCTCATTCGTGGGTTGGTCCATGAGGTCACGAAGAGTCGGAAATGACTGAACGAATGAACAACAACAAACACCACTTTAACTGTTGTAATTATAGTAGACCAGAATTTTTCAACCCAGGGGGTCGGGACCCCTGGGGGGGGGGTTATGAGTGAATGTCAAAGGGGTCACCAAAGACCATCAGAAAACAATAATTTCTGTTGGGCATGGGGTTCTGTGTGGGAAGTTTGGCCCAATTCTATTGAATGCTCTTTGATTGTAGGTGAACAATAAATCCCAGCAAATACCCAACACACCCAAATCTGAATACTGGCGGGGTTGCGGGGGGGGGGGGTGATTTTGTCATTTGGGAGTTGTAGTTGCTGGGATTTATAGTTCACCTACAATCAAAGAGCATTCTGAATTCCACAAATGATGGAATTGAACCAATCTTGGCACACAGAGCTCCCATGACCAACAGAAAATACTGGAAAGGTTTGGTGGGCATTGACTTTGAGTTTTGGGAGTTGTAGTTCACCTACATCCAGAGAGCACTGTGGACTCAAACAATGATGGATCTGAACCAAACTTGGCACATGCACTCAATATGCTCAAATATGAACACAGATGGAGTTTGGGGGAAATAGACCTTGACATTTGGGAATTGTAGTCACTGGGATTCACAGTTCACCTACAATCAAAGAGCATTCTTAATCCCACGAATGACAGAATTGGGGCACACAGAACCCCATGACCAACAGAAAATACTTAAGGCCATCCAATCCAACTCCCTTCATCAGGGCAAAGAAACGTAATCAAAGCCCTCCTGACAAATAGCCATCCAGCCATAGATACAGATAGATAGATAGATAGATAGATAGATAGATAGATAGATAGATATATTCACACACAGAGATATAGTATCATAGATTTGAAAGGGACCCTTAAAGAAGGACAATGATATGTTGCGTGTTCCAGGGTGGGCAAACCAGACACTCTCCACATCAACACTGACAAAGAAACAGCAAGAAATACTGTTTACCCACAAGCATAAAGAAATTACATATATTAGAAACCAACACTTTCTCATTACTTTATTTTCCAGATCAACAGACTGGGCCACAGCAACATGTGGCAGGGGACAGCTAGTGTTATATCAAAATGATTTTATTTTGTTATTGAAATGCCTTTTTTGTTTATGAGGGTTATATTTAAGGACATCCACATCCATGGTTCTGTGGCTTTGGAAGCTGAATGTATTTGGTGTACCTGTGAGCAAATTTCTCTGACCTTTTACTCTAATAATCTGCATTGTCCAGTCCGAAACTACTTCCTCATATCAATCTATGTGATCTTTTCAGACTTGTGTAAGAGATTTGTTTTGGACTTTGTTTAGTAAACCTGAACTCCTTAATCATCTGTAGACCAAAACCTCAAGTCTAAACGGCTTTATATCACCTATTGCTTTTTATCTTTGAGTGGGACTAATAGCACAATTTATTATGTGGATCATAATAAATTGTGGCAAGTTCTTGGTGGGATGGGCATACCAAGCCACCTTGTCTCTCTCCTGAGGAATCTGTACAAGGACCAAGTAGCAACAGTCAGAACTGACCACGGAACAACAGAGTGGTTCAAGATTGGGAAAGGCGTACGGCAAGGCTGCATCCTCTCACCCAACCTTTTTAACTTGTATGCAGAACACATCATGCGATGTGCGGGGCTGGATGAATGCAAAGCTGGGGTGAAAACTGCTGGAAGAAACATTAACAACCTCAGATATGCAGATGACACCACTCTGATGGCCGAAAGCGAGGAGGAGCTGAGGAGCCTTCTAATCAAGGTGAAAGAAGAAAACGCAAAAGCTGGGTTGCAGCTAAACGTCAAAAAAACCAAGATTATGGCAACAAGAATGATTGACAACTGGAAAATAGAGGGAGAAACCGTGGAGGCCGTGACAGACTTTGTATTTCTAGGTGCAAAGATTACTGCAGATGCAGACCGTAGCCAGGAAATCAGAAGACGCTTACTTCTTGGGAGGAGAGCAATGTCCAGTCTCGATAAAATAGTAAAGAGTAGAGACATCAGACTGGCAACAAAGATCCGCCTAGTCAAAGCCATGGTATTCCCTGTAGTAAACTACGGATGTGAGAGCTGGACCTTAGGGAAGGCTGAGCGAAGGAAGATGCTTTTGAGCTGTGGTGTTGGAGGAAAGTTCTGAGAGTGCCTTGGACTGCGAGAAGATCCAACCAGTCCATCCTCCAGGAAATAAAGCCCGACTGCTCATTGGAGGGAAGGATACTAGAGACAAAGTTGAAGTACTTTGGCCACATCATGAGGAGACAGCAAAGCCTAGAGGAGACAATTATGCTGGGGAAAGTGGAAGGTAAAAGGAAGAGGGGCCGACCAAGGGCAAGATGGATGGATGGCATCCTTGAAGTGACTGGACTGACCTTGAGGGAGCTGGGGGTGGTAACGGCCGACAGGGAGCTCTGGCGTAGGCTGGTCCATGAGGTCACGAAGAGTCGGAGACGACTGAACGAATGAACAACAACAATAGCACAAAGAGGCTTGGCACAGCAAACATATCATTAAGGAATATTGGCAACTCCACTTTACAAGTTTCCTTTTCTTAACAGGGATTCAGCATTAGTATTTGTCTTAATTAATAATGCATTATCCCACAGCCCACAAAATTTGGGCTGTAGGAGGTTAAGCTGATCATATTTCTGCCTTCATTTCACTGGCATGAAAAGATCTGTTTCTTGAAGTAGGCCCTATAAACCCATGAATACAACTAGAAATGTTAGTCTTGACTTATCCATGGGCACAGTTGACTTATCCATGGGCCAATATGAGTATTCTACCTTAACTCAGGGGACCTCAAACATTTTAAGCTGAGGGTTAGTTCACAATTCCTGTTGCGGGGTCAGACTATAGTTTGGGGAAAAAAACATGAACACTGCACACATCTTATTTGTAGTGCAAAAAAACCCATGAAAGAACAATACAATATTTAAAACGAAGAACAATTTTAACCAACATAGTATACTTCAATGGGAAGTGTGGTCCTGCTTTTGGATGGTAAAATAGTCAAGCTAATTAGGATTGTTGTTGTGTGCCTTCAAGCCATTTCAGACTTAGGATGACCCTAAGTCTAAAGTTACCAGGCCCCATGGTAGCACGGTGGGTTAAACCGCTGAGCTGCTGAACTTGCTGACCAAAAGGTTGGCGGTTCGAATCCGGGGAGCATGGTGAGCTCCCACTGTTAGGCCCAGCATCTTCCAACCTAGCAGTTTGAAAACATGCAAATGTGAGTAGATCAATAGGTACCATTTCTGCGGGAAGGTAACAACAGCCCTCCGTGCAGTCATGTTGACACATGACCTAGAAGGTATCTACAGACAACGCCAGCTCTTTGGCTTAGAAATGGAGATGAACACCACCCCCCAGAGTCAGACATGACTTGACTTAATGTCAAGGGAAACCTTTAACTTTACTCAATTATAAAGTTTAGAGTGGGGGGCTGGTAAATGGCCTTGGAGAGTTATATCTGGCCCACGGGTCATAGTTTGGGAACCCTTTAACTCTTATTTAAAAAGGAACTTTCGTCTTCTCTGAGTACAGCAGTGAAAGACAGGATTTTTGTCAATTCAAGGAAGACTTTAAAAGAAGCATCAACTCCATTTATACTCTCCAGTATGGCACCACTTCTGGATTTTTAAAATGTCTGGGCAGGGAAATAGCAGCAGTGACTAGAGGTGGTTGCATTTCTGTTTTCCCTTCTTTGTGGAATGATCCTTTATTATTTATTTACAGCATTTGTAGCCTGCATTTCTCAGCCTTACGGCGACACAAGGCGGCTTACAGAAATTGGCAGAATTTGATGCCATACATTCATAAAGTACAGTTAAAAACATTCAACCTAATGTTATATAAACAATTTAAACCATTAAAAACATATCCACGTGTCAAATCAAAATCCATAATTATGGTTCCAAAACCTGCCCTCCACTTATACATCTCATGAACTTATACATATGATGATGATGATGATGATGATGATGATGATGATGATGATGATAAACTTTATTTATAACCTGCCCTCTCTCCCTGGAGGGACTCATGCCGGTTTCCAAAAAAACAAAATTGACAAACATTCAATGCCCAAAAGCAGACAAATAACAATCAAGGCGAAACATGAAATAAAATGAACTCAGTATAACTTATAAACAACTGAAAAATGAAGGTTAAACTAAATAAACATAATGAACACAAGGAGTCAAACCATATAAAACAGAATACATTAAAAGCATAATGTAGTACTATACATCACATCAGTGAACGGAGGCAGGATGAGTATATATATCAGTCATGGACAAACTTTGGCCCTCCAGGTGTTTTGGACTTCAACTCCTGGAGGGCTGAAGTTTGTCCATGCCTGATATATATATATGGTAATTGCTCACAGGGAGGCTTCTTATTGGGATGCATGCTGTATTTTTAAACTTTGCATTCCTTTCCTTTCATATTGTTTAACACAATAATTTTAATTGTTTTCAAAATCTTTTGTTGAGTTTTATTTATTCCTTTGATAAGGTTTGGGTCCCACTCTGGGAGAAAGGAGACGTATAAATGTAAATTAAAATATTCTCTCTCAATGTTTGAAATAATGCTTCTTCTTTCTCTGTCGTCACAATAGGTTGTCAACAATACACAAACAAAACTTGTGAGGAATGCCTCAAAAATGTCACAGTAAGTAGCATTTTGAATTTGATGTACTAAAAGATCCTTTTGAATTGGTTGTCTGTGTCAGAGTACAAGTTTCAGGTTTGTTGTTTACAGCAGAGACCATAAAAAGTCCCACATATATGGTTCTGGCTATTGCCAGAAGGCTTTCCTTAAGTTATCGGAATGGAATTTGGAGGTACTTTATGCAATCCCTGCTATTTGACATAGCAAGATGTAGATATCTCTGCAGAAACCCCACCCCACTCACCCACACAAACTATTATCTATTTATGCACCCTGCACAACAGGTTACAGAGTTCATAGGAAAGCTTGTGGTACAAAAATAGTTTTTAAAGTAAGCTGATAAATTTCTATTATTTTTAAAAATACAAAGCAAGTCATATAATCATAGAGTTGGAAGAGACCTCGTGGGCCGTCCAGTCCAACCCCCTGCAAAGAAGCAGGAAAATCGCATTCAAAGCACCCTCGGCAGATGGCCATCCAGCCTCTGTTTAAAAGCCAAAAGAAGGAGCTTCCACCACACTCCAGGGCAGAGAGTTCCACTGCTGAACATCTCTCACAGTTAGTGAGAGCTGTTCTTCCTAACGTTCAGGTGGAATCTCCTTTCCTGTAGTTTGAAGCCATTGTTCTGCGTCCTAGTCTCCAGGGCAGCAGAAAACAAGCTTGCTCGCTCCTCCCTATGACTTCCTCTCACATATTTATACATGGCCACTATGTCTCCTCTCAGCCTTCTCTTCTGCAGACTAAATATTCCCACCTCTTTAAGCCACTCCTCATAGGGCTTGTGCTTATCTTAGGGCACAACATTTATAATAAGTAAATTTATCCCCCCCCCCCATTAAATTGCCAGTCTATGCATTCCTATTTAAAGTAAACTCCATTGAATTGTGACTCATTTCTGAGTAAATGAGCATAGATCAAGTTGTCTTTGAGTTCCTGAACTGTTTCTAGTGAGATATATGAATTTCCTCTTTCTGTGCATTCAGATTTTCTGTCTTGTTTATCTTCAGTAACCCTCAGATCTGTGCTTTGCAGAGGCATGCAGGCACGTTGATCAAGCAAGCTGTTTCTTGGTTGAACAGAGCAGGAGTCAGTGTGTAGTACAATAGCTTGTTTGAGAAGCACTTCTTGCTTTGACGCAACCATCGGAGGAAGAAAATGGATCACAGCGCCTGTCCTTCAAAGCCCAGCTGCCTGTGTTAGAGGAAGTGGGAGGCAATATCCTCCCCATACATTTGCCTGAAATAGAGGGGAAAGTGCTTTCCTTGGAAGACTCATGATTCTGTCATACTGCAGTTTCCGGACTTGCACTATGAAATCTGTACTTTTGCCCAAGATCCACTCCTTTTGTGACAGCTGGCCTGGTGGAGTGCTTTCCATGTGGCCAAATTAAACTGCTGAGCTGCTGAACTTGTTCACCTAAAGGTTGGTGGTTCAAATCCAGGGAGCGGGGTGAGCTCCCAGTGTTAGCCCCAGCTTCTGCCAACCTAGCAGTTTGAAAACATGCAAATGTGAGGTGATCAATAGGTACTACTTCAGCAGGAAGGTAACAGCGCTCCATGCAGTCATGCTGGCCACGACCTTGGAGGTGTCTACGGACAATGCCGGCTCAGAAATGAAGATGAGCACCACCTCTCATAGTCGGACACAACTAGACTTAATGTCAAGGGGAGCCCTTTACCTTTACATTAGAAATTATTCTGAGATGAAGTACAATTCTTCTTGGATTTGCTGTCACCATATGAGAAGAATTCTGATTGAAAAAATAACAACAAAACGGTCTTAATTCTGTGCCATTCTGTCTAAGATGATATCTTATTGCAGTGGCCAGGAACCCAAGATAAATGTGAAACATGGACTGAATCTGTAGGTTCAGTAAACTCATCTATTTTCAAAAGCTCCTTTGTTCAAAGCAAATATTACTTGCTAACTATAATTTTGATTAATGGATTCCTAAATGTTCCAACTGATCTGCATTAAGTTCTGTCCAGTTAAAATGAATATATACAGTCAACTATAACTATTATGTCTAAATCCAATTTCTAGTTCCAGCTAGAGTAGCATGATTGGGTCTGTGGAAAGTACAAGTGCTTGCCTTGAATTTGGTTTGATCAGAAATTGGATTTAGGCCTTACATCTCATATTGAATGAGCAAAGAAAGAAGGAAACCGTTTTGAAAACCAATGCCCATGAGCCATTTGAGAAATATCAAATGAGTGTTCTACCAAACATTATTTCTGAGGAACTTGTTTTAATTTCAGTGAAACTTGGGCATGAATGGGTTTTAGTCTGGTTATACTGAAGAATCCAGAAGTCATTGTATCTTGCAGAGCTGTGCCTTTCAATGTGCCAGGTAATTTCAAAGGAATGTCCGGGCTGCACTCCTCAACACTCTTGCCTCCTAGTTAGTCTCATTGTGTTCAGTGAGACTTTACAGCCTTATATGTGTTTGATGAATGGGGGCATTGTCCTCCCCATAAGAATGTTATCGCCGTGAAGTTTTCCAGCAGTCTCCAATTTGTAGCATTGCAGTAATTTAAAATCAGTTGAGCAATTTCAGGAAGTGAATAGGATTTATAATCCTAGTTCTGAGCCAGTGATTGATATTGGTAAAGACTAGATGAGGGTGGATAGATTGAGTTGCTCCTGGAAATGAAAGACTTCTTCATGAAACAGAAGTTTTGCCACTATAGGACAGAATTACACTCCCCTTGAAGACAGGCTTGCCCAGATTTTGTTAGTGATGGCCAGCGTGTTGTAATGGTTTGAGTCTTGGTCTACGACTCTGAAGACAAAGATTCGAATTTCCACTCAAACACTGAAACACACTATGTGACTTTGGGCAAGTTGTTCTGTCAGTCTCAGAGAGTAGCTCATTGTGGACTATATCTCACCAAGTTAAAACGGTGGCTGTGGCTCTTCATGAGACATGCCGCATCATCACAGGATGTCTACACCCCACATGACTGGAGAAATTATACTGTTTAGCCAGTATTGCACCACCAGACATCCACCAGGAAGTAGCAGCCAATAATGGAAGGACCAAGGCAGTGACATCTCCAGTCCATCCTCTGTTCGGATATCAGCCAACACCTTAAATCAAGGAATTTCCTCCTAACATCTACAGAGATACTTGCAGGAACACCTCAGCAAGCAAGAGTCCAAAAGTGGCAGGCTAAAACCCGGAATCTCAATCAGTGGCTGATAATGGATGAGATATCAGCCTCCTGGGCATACAGAAGACTGGAGGACTTGGAAGGTGCTGAACAGACTGCACTCTAGCACCACAAGATGCAGAGCCAACCTTAAGAAATGGGACTACAAAGTGGAATCCATGACATGAGAGTGTGTAGAAGAGCCAACCAAAGACCATCTACTACAATACAAACTGAGCCTGCCACATGCACAGTGGAGGGCCTTCTCACAGCGACACTAGAGGCACTCCCAAGTGGCCAGCTACTGGTCAAAGGATGTTTAGCATAATGCCAAGTTTTTAACTTTGTTTGTGCTTTAAATACATTTTAACTGTACCCTTGCCTCAGAGAGAGGCAAAGCCGGAGCCCTTCTTAATCTAAATTATGATAAACCTCATTATAGGATGTAGCAGTGGTTCTCAATCTGTGGGTCCCCAGATGTTTACGCCTTCAAGTCCCAGAAATCCTAACAGCTGGTAAACTGGCTGGGATTTCTGGGAGTTGTAGAATCACTGGGATATAGGATCGTCACAATTTAGAAATGATTTGAAGGCACACAGCAAGAACAAATGAATTCTTTTGCAGTGTTAAGACTAGTGTGCCAATTTTCCCTATTCATGGAGGTATCAAAACACATCCTATTTCCATCTCATTTGGATTATTGAAATGTGATGTACAAGAACCTGTCTACTGAAAACTGCTTAGAACCAACTTATCTGAAATAGTTGGCAATGGCTAGTAGTTATGTAGAATGTGGTTCTCTTATTTAGCTGGCCTTTTCTGAGCACAAGCATTAGTTACGACATGCAGGATTTTAGACTTTTTTCATCTTGGAAACAGGCTATCAGAAAGACTTTAGTCACTCATAAGAATTTGCTTGAGTGCCATGATGTTTGGGGAAACCCTTCTTTCACTTTTTGCCACTGTTTTGCGGAGTGGGCAGAGCAAAAGACAACCTGGCAAAATGGAACTACCTAAAAGAATCCGACACCTTGTGTGACTGTGGAGCAGAACAGACAACTCCGCATCTGTATGCTTGTCCATTATGCCCTGCCTCATGTACAGAGAAATAATTGTTGGAGGCTACAGACAATGCCATTGCTGTTGCCCGTCTTTGGTCAAAAGATATTTAGCTGCTTGTGCTCCTTCTGTTTTATACAAAATTTATACAAATTTATGCAATGCATTTGCTATGAAATAAATATAAACTTTTGCCATTGTTGGCATCATGTTTGGTAGGAACTTGACTAATTTTGTGAAAACCTCAGCAGCTTCCAGACTTTGGAACTTTGTGCCAACAAAGACTGGCTGACCCCTTTTCTGCTGGCAGGCAAAGACCTTATTTAAACATGCCTTTGGCATTTCAGTTGGGTTGCAGTTGAAAGAGCTTGTTTTTAATTTTATGTTATTATCTTGAACATCAGTTATTAGCAGAAGGGAGGAATATTACAGTAATTTAGGCAAATGAAAGACTGATCTGCATTACATTACATTAGCCACCTGATTCACCAAATGACAATTTGGCCCTAAAACTCAATTGTTGGCATGATAGCCAAAGTGAAAGCATTCTGTCCTCAACTTGTTCCCTTACACCTCTATGTCTATCATATTAAGTAGCATCCAACTGTTCTTAGCTAAATGAAATCTGGATTTAATTGTAGAACGGAATAAAACCAGCTAATATTTGTGATAAAGAGTAGTGAGATGAGTGGTAGATAAGTGGTAGGATGAGGTTAAAAAGGGAGACAAGATGTTAATAATAGACAGTCATCTAGACTGAGGGGAAAACTCATTGAGGTGAACCAGAGAACAATCTGTGAGGGGCAGCCATTCAGTCTCAAATAAGGAGTCTGGCCTGTAGTTTCCAACAGATCTGCATGTAAACAACATCGTTATAATTATAACCGAGGGCAATCGAACATAAAGATGCCTTGCTAGGACAGAACATTAATTGCTCAAACAGATATCCAGTAGTGCTTTGTTGAAAATAAAGAGCACCCCTGTACTTGCTCATTTGCTTATTTCCCAATTCCGCAAAGGCAAGACTTTTACCGAGAACAAAATTACGTAGGTATATTTATGAGAAACAGATGGCCTAATCCTAGGTACAGCTTTAGCATCACTTACGCAGAATGCTAGAACCTAAAACAATCAAATTCAAAATTGTCCACACGAGTGACTAAGATAGGACCACCTTTGCCTTCTGATGGTTGAGTGACAAAAACTTTGTTTCATGAGCAAAATTAATGCAAATATTGTTTAAAATGTTCTTCAGGCTATGTGTAGAACCGTGGTGGTGCATTGGGTTAAAACTTTGTGCCGGCTGAATTGCTCACCTGTAGGTCAGCGGTTCGAATCTGTGAGACAGGGTGAGCTCCTGTCTGTCAGCTCCAGTTTCCCATGCGTTGACATGAGAGAAGCTTCCCACAGGATGATAAAATATCCGGGTGTCCCCTTGACAACATCCTTGCAGATGGCGAATTCTCTCACACCAGAAGCGACTTGCAGTTTGTCAAGTCACTTCTAACACGAAGTAAAAAGCTATTTGTATAAGGTATATACGAAACCTAAGTGAATTTCATGTTTAGACTTAGGTCCCATCTCCAAGATGCACAGACATGCAAATACAGGTACAGCATAACCCCCTCATCCACAGATTAACATCCATGGTTTCACTTGTCCATACTCCAAAAGAAGTTATTTACAGGCCTCCCTTATTCTATGCTGTATGTCTAGCCCAAGTATAGTCAAAATATAGGGTTCAGCATAATCCACAGTTTCAGATATCCATGGGATGTGTGTGTATATCTTAGAATGTATTCCCTGTGGATACAAGATCATACTATATTCTAAAATCCAAAAATATCAGAAATCTGAAGCACTTCTGGTTCTTTGCACTTCAGGCACGATATACTCAACTTGTACTTAAAGTCCAAACTATACATTTCATATGTCTGTGTTTGATCTCTCTGTCTTGACAAATGTGTCTGGAATGCAGCAATACATTTAGCAATAATGTAGTCTGGCTTTTTTCTGGGTTTGGTCAAGACTATTTCAATGTAGTATGTATAGAATTACAGTTTAAAATTTGAAACATTGATCCCTTTATGAACTGTAATATTTTATTGGCATAAACATATTGCAGAACTTGTTCATTTGATCATATAGTTGGGTTAAGAAAGATTTCACGATGTTAGGAATGTATATACAATGAGCCCTTGGTTTCCACTGGGGTTTCTTTCCAGGAACCCCCACTGATACCAAAATCTCAAAATGCTGAAGTCCACTTACATTCAATGGCATGGTAAAATGGCATTCTTTACATAAAATGACAAAATTGACATTTGCTTTTTGGAATTATTTTGGAGTTGGAGGGGATTGTATTGTCGAAGGCTTTCATGTCTGGAATCACTAGGTTGTTGCAGGTTTTTTGGACTGTATGGCCGTGTTCTAGACGCATTCTTTCCTGATGTTTTGCCTGCATCTGTAGCAGGCATCCTCAGAAGTTGTGACCTCAGATGCATGCGAAACATCAGGAGAGAATGCTTCTAGAACACGGCCATACAACAACTCTTGGAGGGGATTATTTTCATGAATGGTAGAATTCATGGATGCAGAATCATAGAGTTGAAAGAGACCTCATGGGTGGGCCATCCAGTCCACCCCCCTGCCAAGAAGCAGGAAAATAGCACTCAAAGCACCCCAGACAGATGGCCATCCAGCCTCTGCTTAAAAGCTTCCAAAGAAGGAACCTTCACTACACTCTGGGGCAGAGAGTTCCACTGCTGAAACGCTCTCACAGCCAGGAAGTTCTTCCTAATGTTCAGATGGAATCTCGCTACAGCCAGAACAATGCTCTTTTTATCAGTGTTTGGTAACTCCTCTAATCAATATATTTAACAACATAAGTGTTAACATAGAATTGTATAATGCTCTCTTTACTATTAAACCTTTGAGCTGATTTTCTGCAGTCTACTTGTGGTATATAGCATTGATTTCTTTCCTCCCCAGTGTTTATGGTGCAGCAGCAGCAAAAGATGCATGGACTATCCTGTTCGAAATATACTCCCTCCCAGTTCTCTTTGCGAGTTGAGTTCTGCACGCTGGGGGGTCTGTTGGGGTGAGTGACTTCCAGATATACTACACATCTTTTGGCATTGCTATTGTTGGCTTGGATGTAATAAACTCTTTTTTTTGGGGGGGGGGGGGGTTGCCTATAATATTTTGGTTAAATGCCAGGAACTGTAACATCTTGAATTTCAAGATGCTGGGTTTTTATTTTTTACTAGCATTCCAACTGAGTCTAAAGCAGTTTGTAAAGTTTTGGAGAAGAAAGGTAAACCTGTTACTTCCTACTTGTAATAAAAACTCCTGGGATTAATTACTCTTCTGCACAAAATACAATAAGAACGTTTAGTTCAAATAAATTGGCCTTTTGTAAATCATTATAAAAGTTTATTTCAAGCACATTGGTGTAGGTGGGCCATGCCTCTAAAGAATGCTTGTTACTTTGGTAGATCACTCCAGCAATACAGCACTGCCAATAGTTACCGAGGTATTTTTGGAAATGTGCAAGCACTGTACAGTGGTGATGACCACCTCCTCTTATAATCTTAATAAGTAGAATGGGGATAGGTCTCTTGCTATCCATACTAGCCAGTATAAGCAATTGTAAGGAGTGCTGGGAGCTATGGTTTGCCAACATTGGATGAGGGGCATACTTTGTCTACCCTTGAACTAGGAGGGACAGTGTGTGTGGGGGGGGGGGGGGGAGTATTTAGTCAGATACCAATTGTATAAGTTTTCCCACTTAAAAAGATGAGAGAAGCCTGCAATTGGCTTCATAGGTAGACCTCAATTTCGAGAGACAACATGAGAAAACACAGCCAGAAAGCTTCTGAACACAGAGGCTCCAGTTCTAGTTTTTGGTATCAGTGACAATTAACAATTTGTGCATCTATAATCAGCCATCCACATTTACTGAGGTTAAGTGTACAGAATCCCTGCAAAAGTGGGGAAATTGAATTAAAAGCTTTTTTTTAAATCTGAGAGACTATCCCTCTAGGATGGTGAAACTCTATGATCAACTTCTGTATGAAGTTGACCATGGAATTGCACAGAAGGATCTGGGGACTCCTCTATTAATCAGATCCATGACTAATCAAATAAACCCACATATGTGTAGGGTTGATTGTCTTAGGGAGACATCCAAAAATTATAAACAGGATACAAAAGTTGAGCATCAACTCTGTAGCAAGCAGAGTGTGATGTGACTGTAAAGAATTCAGAGCTTAGGAGGCAAACACGTAGGGTCAAATCTTAAAAATCACAAATGATTTATTTACAATAAAAAAACTTATTATATTTTTTCTACTCTAACACTCAATCAGAATGATGGAGAGGAGACAAGAAATAGATATATTCCAACTGTCATTCAGGAGACATGGGAGAAGGGAATCCCTTCAGCCTATACTAAACTAACTCAGTGGTTCTCAACCTGGGGTTCCCAGATGTTTTTGGCCTTCAACTCCCAGAAATCCTAACAGCTGGTAAACTGGCTGAGATTTCTAGGAGTTGTAGGCCAAAAACATCTGGAGACCCCAGGTTGAGAACCACTGAACTAACTCCTCCTCCTTGAGGACTTGGGCAGTGTGGGGTTGAATTTCAACAGATTGTTGCCATTCTTTTTTTTAAAAAAAGCTGTTGTACTAGGTGCAAGTAGCCATCCCCATGATACATTTTGGGTTGCCTGATAATGTGATTACTCATTTATATGACACTGCTATTGTTACTTGAGATTTTGAGAGAACTTGGGTAAACTTGAGGTGTCTATTATGAAAGTGCTTGTATTTTGAAACCAAAATCTGGGACTCAGTTTATATTTTTTTTCACCCTTTTTGGTAATGTTTTGTTTACTACTTTTTCCAGTGAATTTTGAAGCCCTGATTATTACAATGTCTGTGGTGGGAGGAACAATCCTTCTGGCTCTCGTTGTTTGCTGCTGTTGCTGCTGCAGAAAGAAAAAGAGCAGAAAGCAAGTATCCAAACATGTTTCTGTTTTGGCACTTTAAATACTATATTGTACTTGACGATTCCATCAAGTTATGACATATATAATCATAATTATAATGCTCTTACTTTGAATAGGCCTGATAAGGATGATGAAAAAGCTACCAGGGAGAGAGAACAAAGAAGAGTAAGGCAGGAAGAGAGGTAAGTTTCAGCCTGGGAACACCATCCAAGCATGCTGTCTTCTGGTCTAAACTGAGCCGCTCAATTCCTAGAACTGGATTAGAGCCATTAGATTAGACATTAGAGACTTTTAACAGCTTGAATAATGGACTATGGATTTTGGAAAATGATTATGGATATGAGGTCATGACTCGTTATTTTATATGGTTTTTAATCTGATTGATTGATTGATTGATATGTGTTTTAATTGCTTATATGTTTAGATGGTTTTATATTTTGATGAGATGTGTATTATTGTTTACCTTTGCGGCATTGAATTTTTGCTGGATTTGTAAGCTGCCTTGAGTCCCCTTCAGGGTCGAGAAAGGTGGGATAGAAATGAAGTATATGAATAAATAAAATGTGATGAACCAGCCAGTTGTGAACTTTGCAGTTTTCATAAGCCCTGCCCAATACAACTAGTGGGAAGAGATGGTGGCATCTGCAGTTTAGAAATGTTTAAGGGACCACATGTTTTCCACCCCTGGCTAAAGAGTTTGCAAAGATACCTGTGACAACAGTGTATTGCCATTTTCTCTCCAGTATGGTATTTACATTGTGATGATCTTGGAAGACTTTACCAGTTATAAACATCTGGATTTATGCTATAGGTTTCCCTGAAAGGTTTGTTGTGAGCCAAACATCAGTGTATAAATTACACACGATTACTTACTATTAACATTATAGAGACACATGTATGTGATTTTTTTTAACATTTCAAAAGTTACATGACATGTTTCATGTTTCTTACAGGAGAGCAGAGATGAAGTCTAGGCATGATGAAATCCGGAAGAAGTATGGTAAGTGTCAGCTACATACTTATTGCTGATGGTTTAAGAGAATTTTTGGCATGAGTATGTTGTAAACCACCTTGAGTCAAAGTAGGAAATTTGCAACACAAATATTAAGCCTTTTTCAAAAACACAACATTTATTATCTGCAATATTCAAGTTAAAAATACTAAGTGGAAAGTTTTATTTGGAGAGAAATTTGTTTTTGGCAATTCTGGTAAACTGTTACCAGTTTTCATGGTTCGGTTAATGTCTTGTGCCAGATAGTTATAGAATGGACCGTTCCACAAGCGAGATCACAGTGCCTCTGTTTGTGTATGCAGGTGAGTCATAGCTTAGAGAAGAGAAGAGCTTCTCTTCCTAATGCTACTACTCTCCTTCTTGTATACTCACTGAATCCCTGGCTTTCTCTATGGGCAGAGGTGGCTTTAAATGCTTTGTTATCGGTGAGAAGCAGTGGCTTGGAAAATTGCCTCTGCCATAGAACAGATAATTTCCTAAGCCACACCTTTTATAGTGCTTTGGTCTTCAGCAAGAGAAGGAAAAGTGCATCCAGCAAAGTGCTTGAGGCTCCTAGGCTTCTCAGAAACCCCATTCAGTTTTGTTTTTTTATGGAAAAGAAAATGTTCACAAGTGCCCCAAGGGATATGAGGGCAATTTATTACATGTGTGTCTACTCTGTGTTTGAGCAGATACATCTGGAAAGACTTCCATATAATAGATGACTCAATACATTGGCTCCTCATCCAGTTGCTACCATCATATTTCCATTGTGTTCTTGCCGCCATTACCACTTCTGTGTAACACTATTGACAGAACTATAAACTCTGCTGTAGAGAGAGGCTATTATTGGTTAAACCAAAATGGTATGAACCTAATTTCGAAAGTTAGTTGTCCAAAGGAAAATACAGTATGAACACTGTACCCGCAGAACTGGTACCTGTGCACTTCCCCTGCCTTCGTCTTTAATATTTATGTCCTACCTCCCATACCTTTACTCTTTATGGCAGTGTTTCTCAATCTTCTTAATACCGCAACTCCTTAATACAGTTCCTCATGTTGTGGTAAAAGTAATTTTGCTACTGTTATGAGTTGTAATGTAAATATCTGATATTCAGGATGTATTTTCATTCACTGGACCAAATTTGGCACAAATACTCAACATGCCCAAATTTGAATGCCGGGGGGGGGGGGGGAATCATTGATTTTGTCATTTGGGAGTTGTAGTTGCTAAGATTGATAGTTAACCTACAATCAAAGAGCATTCTGAACTCCACCAACGATGGAATTGAACCAAACTTGGCACACAGAACTCCCATGACCAACAGAAAATACTGGAAGGGTTTGGTGGACATTGACCTTGAGTTTTGGAGTTGTAGTTCATCTACATCCAGACAGCACTGTGGACTCAAACAACGATGGATCTCAACCAAACTTGGCACAAATGCTAAACATGCCCAAATGTGAACACTGGTGAATTTTGGGGAAAATAGACCTTGACATTTGAGAGTTGTAATTGCTGGGATTTATTGTTCACCTACAGTCCAAGAGTCCCTTGAACCCCTCCAACAATGGAATAGAATTGGGCCAAACTTCCCACACAGAAGTGCTCTGCCTTGAAGGGACTCACTGGTGCAAACCTCCCTCCAGCCCCACACGCTCTCCCACACCTGCACATGTGCACCACACTGCCATGCGCTAAGCACGCCTGCTCTCCCCTCCCTTGCTTGAAGTTTCAGAAAAAGCCCTCCCCTTGGCTGAGAGGCCAGCCAATCACAGCAGAGGAGGGCTTTTGGTGGGAGGATTCACTGTCTATTTCCAAAAAGGAAGAGAAAGACAGCCAGAGAGATCTTCAGCCTTCTCTGCCAAAGGGGTTCCTAAGACCATCAGAAATATATGGTCTTTGGTGGCCCCTCTGAAATCCCCTTGCAACCCCCACATGGAACCTGACCCCCAGGTTGAGAAACGCTGGCTGCACGCTAGTGTGTTGGCTGCAGTGTGTAGGTATGGCATGTCAATGTAATGAGAGACCCCTGAATCTATATGAAATAAGTAATACTAACTTGCAAGCTTTTTTATGCAGCAAAGGTGCCAGTTAGTAATGTATAATATATTCCCCTTCCGTTATATCCGTATATGTAGACCATGATTGAAGGATTGGTAGATGGATTGGTAGACCATGGTATTGCACAGAATGAGTGTTGTTGTTCATTCGTTCAGTCGTCTCCGACTCTTCGTGACCTCATGGACCAGCCCACGCCAGAGCTCCCTGTCAGCCGTTACCACCCCCAGCTCCCTCAAGGTCAGTCCAGTCACTTCAAGGATGCCATCCATCCATCTTGCCCTTGGGCGGCCCCTCTTCCTTTTACCTTCCACTTTCCCCAGCATAATTGTCTTCTCTAAGCTTTCCTGTCTCCTCATGATGTGGCCAAAGTACTTCAACTTTGTCTCTAGTATCCTTCCCTCCAATGAGCAGTCGGGCTTTATTTCCTGGAGGATGGACTGGTTGGATCTTCTCGCAGTCCAAGGCACTCTCAGCACTTTCCTCCAACACCACAGCTCAAAAGCATCGATCTTCCTTCGCTCAGCCTTCTCTAAGGTCCAGCTCTCACATCCGTAGGTTACTACAGGGAATACCATGGCTTTGACTAGGCGGATCTTTGTTGCCAGTCTGATGTCTCTACTCTTTACTATTTTATCGAGATTGGACATTGCTCTCCTCCCAAGAAGTAAGCGTCTTCTGATTTCCTGGCCACAGTCTGCATCTGCAGTAATCTTTGCGCCTAGAAATACAAAGTCTGTCACGGCCTCCACGTTTTCTCCCTCTATTTCCCAGTTGTCAATCATTCTTGTTGCCATAATCTTGGTTTTTTTGATGTTTAGCTGCAACCCAGCTTTTGCGCTTTCTTCTTTCACCTTGATTAGAAGGCTCCTCAGCTCCTCCTCGCATTCGGCCATCAGAGTGGTGTCATCTGCATATCTGAGGTTGTTAATGTTTCTTCCAGCAATTTTCACCCCAGCTTTGCATTCATCCAGCCCCGCACATCGCATGATGTGTTCTGCATACAAGTTAAAAAGGGTGGGTGAGAGGATGCAGCCTTGCCGTACGCCTTTCCCAATCTTGAACCAGTCTGTTGTTCCGTGGTCAGTTCTGACTGTTGCTACTTGGTCCTTGTACAGATTCCTCAGGAGAGAGACAAGGTGGCTTGGGATGCCCATCCCACTAAGAACTTGCCACAATTTATTATGATCCACACAGTCAAAGGCTTTAGAATAGTCAATGAAGCAGAAGTAGATGTTTTTCTGAAACTCCCTGCTTTTCTCCATTATCCAGCGGATATTGGCAATTTGGTCTCTCGTTCCTCTACCTTTTCTAAACCCAGCCTGAACATCTGGTAACTCTCGCTCCATGTATTGCTGGAGTCTTCCTTGCAGGATCTTGAGCATTACCTTACTGGCATGAGAAATAAGGGCCACTGTACGGAAGTTTGAGCAGTCTTTCGCATTTCCCTTTTTTGGTATGGGGATATAAGTTGATTTTTTCCAGTCTGATGGCCATTCTTGTGTTTTCCATATTTGCTGGCAAATGGCATGCATCACCTTGACAGCATCATCTTTAAGATTTTAAACAGTTCAGCTGGGATCCCGTCGTCTCCTGCTGCCTTGTTGTTAGCAATGCTTCTTAAGGCCCATTCAACCTCACTCCTCAGGATGTCTGGTTCTAATTCATTCACCACACCGTCAAAACTATCCTCAATATTATTATTCTTCCTATACAGAATGAGTAATAGGGTCAAAAAAGTTGATTCTGCATCACGTCCTGTAAAACTGAATTATTGTGTTGTGAAATGATGCATAGACATGTGTTACCAACATTAAATGTTTGGAAAGCTCTACTCTAACTTACTGTCATTTCTTTCTTAGGTTTGTTTAAAGAAGAGAATCCATACGCCAAATTTGAAAATTGAGATTTTTTTCTGTCGTACCTGAACAAAATCTGGCAATACTGTCCATGGAACGTGCAGTGTAGCTGCTAAAAGATCCTGCAATATAGATGACTTAATTGCCAATGGGAAAGTGGTCATAACGCAGGACAAAGCCAAATGCAACGAGCTGTTAATAAACAGTCAGATGAATGAACAAGCCAACATACCTCTGAAAATCCAGATGGCCTTTCAGGCTGCTGAAAGATATTAAATTGTTGTTCTCATTGCCTATTCTGCAGGTGTCTATCTGTGCTAATACAGTACCTTGATATTACATGCTATTTTCTTTCCCAGTCAAGTATTGAAAAAACTCCTTCATGAAGCAGGGAGAGGCTTCTCTTCAGTCTTTTCCATGTTCAACAACATCTAGCTATTTTAATATAATGGTGGGAGTAGATATCAATTTTTGTGTTACCTGGAAATACTAGTTGGGTAGGCTGTATGAAAGGAATGCAAGCCTTAATTCTGCCACTAGAAAAAAGTGCCTGACGTTTTCTAAAAAACTTTTTATTGGCAGCACAGATGTTTTTTATCATAGGTTTATGAGGGTTTTCATTTTTATATATGGATACTATTTTTCTTCTGTGCTATGAGTATGGCCTTTCCACTCTTCTGTCTTGTAAAACACTTATTATCACGTAAATAGCAGCAATGAATGTTGGTGTGAGTGTGATGTGGCCTTTTATATTCATATTCATTAGATGGTTGTTTGTATTATACTTTTGAAGTCTGTCCTATATTTAAATATTTCTGAAAACCTAGTTGAACTGTTTTATACAGCTTTGTAATATGAAGTTGCCAAATCCGTCTTGTATCTGAAGCAATGCATAATCTTGGAAAGAATGTCTCTAGTAACCAAATAATCAAAAGCATGAAAACATTTTTTTGAAGTAAAAAAAAAAACCAGAATGAAACCTTGAGGTTTATTTTTGCTGCCTGGAATAAGGGCTATTGATGATAATCTTTTGGATTGATGCAATAGCCTGTTTTTCAGGCTGTTCTGCGTTTGAGTCCAACACATTGGAGTCTGAAATACATTTTTGTTTAAAGGAGAGATCAAACCATGATAAAAAAAAATTGTTTAATGTCAGCTCTTTAGAAGACTAGGTGTTGATAGCTACCATGACAAAATGTTTGGAGGGCAATATGGTTGCTTTACAAGATAACTAAAATATACCAAATTTATTTTCCATGGAATATTTTCAATGCTGTGTCTGCCTGAAAAGTAAATGAAACAATACGTGGCCATCTGCACATAACATAGTAAAGAATGTGGCCTGATATTGAAAACATTCAATAGACGAGTCTAAAGTTGATGTTGTCATTCCCCGTGTTTAACCAAGTATGTTAGTCACTTTAAAGCATTGTTAATTATTATCCATTATAATCTTAAATTATGGTTTGGTTTTGTCAAGGTCACAGATGAATGCAGTACTCCTTAATCTGTTAAAATATTTGTTAAAGGGTTTACATTTGATGCTGCTGTGTCCACACCCTTAAACAAACATATTAGCCACTCTGAAATATTGTTAGGTAATGTTCCATTAATAGTCCATTGTGTATCTGTTTTGGTTAGTGGCAAAAACACATGCAGTACAGAGTCTGTGAAGACATTCGCTCATCTGCTTGACAGCCTTTTAAGTAATTTTGCAAAGCTTTCCAGAGTCTTGCCTGAAAAATCAAACATTCCAAAAATAAAGTATATTGTACTATGAAAGCTTTCACATAATTTCTTGCCATATAAATAATTGAAACTGAACTAAATGTAGCAAAATCTGTAAATTATTTCACTAACAAAATAAACCATATCTTATACTAATCTGTTTGTATTGCTGTGTACTATTTAAAAGGAAATTAGATGTGTACTTTATATAGTGGGTAAAGGTTTCCCCTTGACATTAAGTCTAGTCATGTTCTACTCTAGGGGGTGTTGCTCATCTCCATTTCTAAGCTGAAGAGCCGGCATTGTCCATAGACACCTCCAAGGTCATGTGGTCAGCATGACTGCATGGAGTGCCGTTACCTTCCTGCAGAAGCGGTACCTATTGATCTACTCACATTTGCATGTTTTCGAACTGTTAGGTTGGCAGAAGCTGCAGCTAACAATGGGAGCTTATCCTTCTCCCCGGATTCGAACCACCGACTTCCCAGTCAGCAAGTTCTGCAGCTTAGTGGTTTAATCTGCTGTGCCACCATGATCCCTTTTATATAATAGATAAATGAATGAATAAAGTAACAGTTTAAATAAATGAGATAATCTGGAATCTGTGAAATATAAGTGTATTTAGTATTACCATGCTCCCATACGCTTCTCCCCTTTAGCAATTTAGACTGATCCTTGCTACTTAAACCATCTTTCTTTTTGTAGGAATTGTCACAGAATCAAACAAGATAAATTGAGCAAAGGTACATGTAAATTGGTTTGTGCTTCAGTCACAATGCAAGTGGAAAATGTTATGTAAACGTCTGATTGTGGTGCTGTTGAGCAGTAGTTTCTCTCAGCTGGGGAATAGTGGTAAATCGGGTTAAAGAGATCTGTTTCATTAAGCAGACTTTTTTTCTGTAGCGTAAAATATGACGCACGAGCTGTAAGTAATTTTCTCTCATGGAAGTACCTTTCCACAGGGATTAAAACTGTTGAGGTAAGTATCACCAAAGAAAAGGGGCTTTGTCTTGTGGTGGGCATAGATGACTGCTTCCAGAAATACCTTAGCACAGGGGTCCCCAAACTAAGGCCCGGGGGCCGGATGTGGCCCTCCAAGGTCATTTTCCCGGACCCTCGCTCAGGGTCAACCTAAGTCTGAAACGACTTGAAAGCACACAACAACAACAACAACAATCTTATCTCATCAGCCAAAAGCAGGCACACACTTCCCACTGAAATACTAATAAGTTTGTTAAAATTGTTCTTCATTTTAATTATTGTATTGTTTTTAAGTGTTTTTTGCACTACAAATAAAATATGTGCACTGTGCATAGGAATTCATTCATTTTTTTTTTCAAATTATAATCCGGCCCTCCAGCAGTTTGAGGGACTGTGACCTGGCCCTCTGTTTAAAAAGTTTGAGGACCCCTGCCTTAGCACATGGATCCACAGAGGATGTATTCTGTGTGTATATATATACAATCTCTGCTAACATTAGGAAACAATTCCCTTTCCTTTAGGGCTGCAATCTTGAACTACTAAACATTCAGTAGGATTTCCAGATCCTGTTTATGAGGGACTGGACCTTCCCCATGGACCACCTGCCATGTCACCATTGAGAAATAGTGGCATAAAGCCATATTCAGTCAAGTTCCAGTTTGCAATTGCTACCCACGTGCCTTCCTGCTATCAATCTAAGTCTGTATGGAACTGCACAAGATATAACTGCAAGGACCTTGATCAGAAATGGCCCCAAAGTTATGATAGCTACTTACTTTTTGTTTTTGAAATGGATATTTTTAACAACAGTTTCCCATTCACAGTATCCAGTCTAAAAATGAATGGAAATCAGGAGAAAATACGTTTCCTCTTATGTACAGCTGCTAGATTACTATTGGCCAAAGTATGGAAACAGAAAGAAATTCCCACAGCTGAGGAATGGATCATGAAAATATTTGATATAATCCAAATGGACAGCTTATCCCAAAAATTGAACAGAATGCAAAAAAAGACCGATTGGTTGGGCTTCAAAGACTTTATTACAGCAAGGAAAATGACATGGATGATTGATCTGTCCAACATCTGAAAAAGACTAATAAGATACAGACATCACCAGATCAATCACAGGAGAACTCGATTCACGAAGAACAATACTCTCCGAGGACTTTGGGAAGTCACCTTACGAACAATCTTACATACAAAAAAAATAAATCTTTCTTCCCCCCACTTTTTTATCCTGTTTTGAAAGCTCACGCTACTATCTCACTTCCCACTTTTCTTTCTATAAAGCACTTGTTTCCCCCCTCTTTCGATGTACATAGATATTTTTAAAAGGCACAATAAAAATTATATTTTAAAAAAAACAGTTTCCCATTCACAGTACAGTGATGGTTCTGGAGGAAGAAAAGAAAGATGCAACAGGATATAAATAAAGATGATGATGATGATGATGATTATTGTTATTATTAGCCGTCCCCTGCCATGTGTTGCTGTAGCCCAGTCTGTGTATATGTGTTTTGTGTGTGTATATATGTGTATATGTCAGTGTATATGTGTGTGTATATATATGTGTGGTTTTGCCATGCGTTGTAATGTTGTTTTTTGCTTTTTAAGTCTCTTCTGTGTTTTTCAGTGTTTTAATGAGTGATGGTCACTCGTTGGCCTGATAGGTGTATTGTGCCCAAATTTGGTGTCAGTTCATCCAGTGGTTTTTGAGTTATGTTAATCCCACAAACGAACATTACATTTTATTTATATAGATTATTAGAAACACAACAAGAATAGTACACAGCAAACAAGGCCGCTATGCTGGCTGTTGTATTGGATCATATGTCGGGCACATATGTCTAAGACTGTGTGATGTATCGGCGAATAATGCATGCAGATCCTGGTAGGGTGGCCTTTTACAGCTGACAGGTGGTTTGTCAATACTGATTGTGCCTGGCCACATAGCTGGGATTAGGGACATGGGACACCCATGAAAGTGGAAAAACCATGCATAAAAATTACTGTTTTTTCCCTGAGATAACACCTCTCTAAGAAACTTTAGATCCTCCAGCATGACTGTATGCTCAATTCCTGATTGATATTAACCACAAAATCATGCTGACGGACCCAGATTCCTATAGAAAACTTATTCATCAAATCTGTGAGTAATCAGATGTGCAATAGTTAAACACGCAAATGTGTAGGGCTTTTCCCCTCTTCTGTTCTCTGGATCATTCCCACCACATGGGTGTTTTCAGTGTCCAAAGGCATGGCTGCATTAATAGTAATCTCAGTACTTTATATGTTGATCCTTATGTCATCAAAACAGAACCGTGCTACATGAGGGATATCGACCTGGAGGAATGCCAAAGTTTACAGAAGGACAAAACATTTGGAGAAAGGGAGCCACAGAACCGCAATGAAGACCTATATACAACAAATATAGAATTATAAATATTGGTTAGATGAGGAATTTTGAAAAAAAATCCCAGAAAAGGATTGCCTGGTTAGAGTCCTAAACAGGAACATTGTACATTGCAGTGCTGGTTAGTAGGTCCATTTTCTCCAGGGTTATCATGTTACAGAACTTGAAGTCTCAAAGTATATAGCATATGAGGAAAAGGTTTTGATACTGGAGATGAAAAAGAATTCCTTAAAGCCAACCAATTTAAGGTGCAGGTGCTTACCTACAAAGCCCTGAACAGTTTGGGACCAGCCTACCTGCATGATCGCATCTCCGTCTACGAACCCACACGCTCTCTTCGTTCATCTGGAGAGGCCCTGCTCGTGATCCCACCTGCGTCGCAAGCGCGTTTGGTGGGGACACGAGACAGGGCCTTTTCCGTGGTGGCCCCCCGACTCTGGAACATCCTCCCCAAAGATCTTAGACAGGCCCCTACATTGGCAGTCTTCAAAAAGAACTTGAAGACCTGGCTGTTCCGATGTGCCTTTCCCAAATAGGAAACCTCCAATACCAAGTCCCATAAGCACTTTATTAAACCCAAGACCGCCGCACACCGCACACTGCACTTGACCATAAGCCTCATTTCCACCTGCCACATCAGCACTTTCAACTCTTGTACCCTTACTCTGGCCCGGCCCAGTTTTATTGTGTCTTAGTGGATTGTTCATTGCTTGTTGTTTTAGATTGCTTTAATTGTTTTTAATTTGCCTAGGTTGTGTATTGTTGTATTGTGTGTTGAGGCCTTGGCCTTTGTAAGCCGCATCGAGTCCTGCGGGAGATGCTAGCGGGGTACAAATAAAGTTTAATAATAATAATAATAATAATAATAATAATAATAATAACCTTAAAAACTGTTACATAGACACAGAACTGGAAAGCCCTGTCCCTTGCACACTCTAACTGGAGGTCAGCTGTGGCCAGTAGTGATGCAGAATTCTGAGAGGCCCGAATTGAGAGCAAAAGGGAGAAACGTGTCAAGAGGAAGGTGCATCAAGCCAGCCCTGACCAGGACCGCCTTCCTCCTGGAAACCGATGTCCTCACGGCGGGAGAACATGCGGATCAAGAATAGGGCTCCACAGCCACCTACGGACCCACCACCAAGACACCACATATGGAGGACCATCATCCTCGAGCTACGAGGGATCGCCTAAGTAAGAGGAAAATGTTTTGATAGTGGAGATGGAGGAGTGCCGTGTGATGTGGCTGTCAAGAATTAAGAACTTAGGCAGGTGAAGTTGCAGATTCCAACCTTAAAAAGTCACAAAAAGTTTATTTTCAATAATAATCAGTAACTGCATTTCTTAGTGGTTGAAGAACTGAGTCTGAGCTACTCTAACACCCATCTCTTCTAAGGTTTCAAAGAGGGGGAAATCATCCAAGCACTACATCTCTCTGATACACAAGCAGAGAGAGATCTCAAAGCACTCAGCACATTCTTCAATGTCAGATTTTTAAAAGTTTGCAGTAGAAAAGTATCAATTCTACATAACCAATCAGAATGAGAGTAGGGAGAGAGAGAAGAGGAGAAATACGTACATTCCCAACTGTCAGACATGGGGGAAGGGAAACCCTTAGACTATTCTAAGCTAACTAAAGTGTTCCTCATTGAGGACTTGAGACTTGGGCAGTTTAGAGTTGAATTCCAGCAATGAGTTCTTCCAATCAGAAGAAGAGTCTCACCTGTGATTCATTCATTTCTTAGAGGGCGTCTGTTGATGATCC